AACCCAACTCTCATGCCATTAGAAAGAGGATCATGAAAAACCTATAAAAAAATGGTTCATGAAATTTTAGTTCACACATAAAGCTAAAGTCCGCCTGCTCTAGCAAAAAATGCCCACTGTGAACCGTTTATCAAAATATGGCATTGTATATAGATATATCAATTTATCATGGATTAGATAATCGCACGTAATAAACCATTGATGTTTGAACCAAAAATCATTTTGAAATGGTTCTAATATTTCATCAACTGTCTTTTTAAAAGTGATCATTCGTATAAGAAATTCAATCTAGTCATACCACTTTACTGTCGCCAAATACCAGATAAAAGAGCCTACTGATCTTTTTTCTGAATGTTCTAAATAAATCGTTTTTAAGTATCAAATCGAGTGTCAAATAGAGCGTCAAATAGAAATAGAAATTTTATCAATTGATTGAGAAACATTTGAATTAAACATTGCCAACGTTCGCCACAAAAATAGTGTTCATGTATTCGACGACCTATTAATTCTAAGCGTTTTAATTTTGGCAGTTGTTTTAATAAACATTCTAAGTTAATCATTGTTACATTACTATTTAATTGTAATTTAAGAGATTCTAAACTTGGCGTCAATGTTGGGAATTGATCAAACTCTATTGTGATATCATGATGTCTATCGCATAAATAAGTATTTAAATATTTTAATTTTGCTGTATAAGAAATTAATTGTTTCAAATCGTTAATATTTATTTGATTAATTGTTAAATGTTCAATATTTGATTTTGTCATTTCTGTTGATCGTTTTGGATCAAATTCTATGATATGATACATATCAAGACCTGTTCAGAAGAAACGTTATCATTTTCGACTCACTATAACATGAGTAATTGTAACGGAATGAATTGGATTTGTGATCAACAGTTATGACAAATTAAAGTAGAAAATTAAGAATATTTTGTTCAAAAAACCAATTATATGTTTCTTTTTGTGTTAAAATTGTTCTCCAAAAATTTAAATTGATGATATTATATTATCACCAACGGTAGAAAAGATCTTTAAAATTAATGATGAAAGATGGATCTCGATGTTAAAATGTTATTATTTATGAATAGTTTCAACATGTAAAATATTTTAATGTTGGTATAATATCTGATAGAATTGTTTCATGGATTAGAGAAATTAATGAATTTGAATATTCTTCTTCAATATAAATAGATAAATGAGTTAATTGTTTAAATGATGATAATTTTGATAGAATCAATTTACATTGATCACTAGTAACATTGTATAATGATAATGATTGAAGAGTATCAGAAAATTTATCAAAGGAAAATTTTGATAAAAATTGATAAATCTGTCCCGTTGTACCAGGATTATCAGATAATGTTAATGATTGTATTTGTCGGGGACTGATTACATTACATAACCAATTGAATTTTGATTTTTGTCTATGTTGAAAATTAATACGATAAAGTTGTTTTGATTCAAATAGTGTTTGAATACGAGAGTTTAACCCATTAAAGGCAAATAATATATCACCCCCATCTAAATAATCGAACACTTCTCTTAATAACTCGTTCGCTAATTGTTCGCTAATTGTTCAAATTTTGTCATTTCATTTATTTATATAATGAACGGAATGTGTAGAAAATGAAGTGAAAATATACATTCAACTTCTTCTATTCTTATTGATTATGTAATGAAAACTAAGAACATGTGTTCTTCACGAATATGCAGAGAGTAGTAAAGAAATTCAATGGGTTTGTTTTTCTTTCTTCTTCTACTTTCGTAACTACAAGCACTATGTGAATGACTTCGTTTATATGAGAAAAGAAAATACGAAAAACTTATAAATACACTTTATTATGAATAGAATAAAAAACGAAAACTAGAAAGAAATTGTACTGCGCACAACTTGCGATATCGACAGATACTTGGAGAGAATAATAAAACAAAGAACGAAATATGAAGAACAGAGAAAGAGAAACGAGAGAGAATTATTTTTCTTCTAAAGAACAAATGGTGTCGGACAGCTGAGGCTAATGAACTTTAAAAAGCTTTCGAGTCCAAAATACATTTTTCTTTCACTTGTATAACTTATGGCGAATCTGGACTTATGTTTGAAGAACGAACCTGCAGTTGTCAATCTGCAGTATCCACAGGCTGCCCAGAATTGCACCGGTCTAAACTAAGAGGCCGGACCGCACCGGCCGGTTTAAAACTGAAGACTGGACCGGACCGGTCGGCCCCAAAATCTTTTTAGACCGACAAAAAATCGGCATGGTGAAAACCTGCAAAAAAACCAGCCAATTGAGAACTCTTATCAGTAAAACTAAATATCTTTAAGGAAAAAGTCGTCTTCGCTAGCTTTTTCTTATTTCTCTTAGTTGTTTTATCAAGTTTCTTTTGAATGAAGACGAGAAAAATGCTAGGATCGGATTGAGCCGGTCCGGTTTCAAGTCTGAGACTGCCCTCCTATTTTGAGAAGTTTTCTACTTAGCGTAGTTCGCTAGATCACGTCGTACGCATTCTGCAAAGTGACTAAAGCGCATTCTGAAAAGTGACTAAACAAGAAAAAAAAACAAAATTCCAAACAGAAAAGAAAGTATTATGTCTGTTGATATAATAATAGCGATTCTATGATGATATTACTCGTCGACTCATACTTCATTATCAGATATGTAGTTTATGTGAAGCCCTTCGCATTCGATCTCCATACAAAATCACTAAGAAATCTCGACTTTGAGACCTTGTTGTCCCTGAGTTAACATTTTTCCAAAGGCACCCCAAAGATTTAGCCATTTTCAGCATTTGGTTCATAAGGTTTTATGATGCATTCCATTCATTCAAAACAGTACTAAAACCGAACAAAACTATATTTAGTTTATTTCTTCATGTTTGTTTCTCACTTTTACACCTAAATTACAGACACAGCGAAATTTTTGAAGAGTCAGTCAGTTTTCTCGAGTGAATCCTGTCTTAGAACATAAAGTTTTAGGTGTTATACTATCAACCGATGTTACCTAGAAAGCGCATATAAAATACGTTCATACAAAATGTTCTAAAATATTAAATATGATGAAACCACTTAAATATAAATGTTTAACAGTGGTCTTAGACTAAGTATATAAGTCTTTTTTCGTTCAAATAATAACTTATGCTGACTGTCTTTATACATCCACATTCGATAGTCACTTAGCTGAGTTGTTCGCCTTACAATATCAAGCTGCGTTAATAGTTAGTGGAGCATTGAGATTGACAGATAAAGATAAAATCTTAAAATGTCCGGGTTGGACACCACTAGAAACCTTATTTTTGCAACATAAGCTAATCTTATCTTATAAAATAATGAAAGGACTTGTTCCTTCCTATTTGATTAAATTGGTACCAGCAAAACCAACACATCAGTGGTCCACACGCTATAAACATAGTTCTATCATACAACACATATACACTCAATGAGATATTTTCGAAAAGAGTTTTTTTCCGGCCACGATCTTGGAATGGAATAATTTAAAACATGATGTAAAAGAATCGCAAAATCCCTCCCTTTTTCTTAAGTAAAAGTTGAACTAAAATAATAATTCACGCTTACCTGTCTATCGACCTTATCATGCTCCACGTAAAGCTGATATTATTTATTACCAGCTGAGAACAGAATTTCCCAATCAAACTTTGACCTATTTACAAAAAATCTATCAGACACTAAATTGTGTGTTTGCGGTAGCATTGAATCAAGAGAGCATTTTTTACTCCATTGTACTCGTTACACACGATATAGAAAGCGTCTCTATAAGGAACTTAAATCGATGCTGAACGGCAGCCCCCGTGTATGGATCTACTGTGCTTGAATGCATCGCTTGATAAAGGTACGTATTTACTTGTTGCTAAATCTGTAATTGCATATATTATCGATTCTCAACGCTTTGAGGGTCTTGAGAATAATTAAGCCAGGAAAAGAAAAAACTTGTGCTCCCTAGTCTACTTTACATTTTTTATTTTTTCCTTTTCTTCCTCTCACTTCCCACATATCTTTACTCTTTTCTTTTTTAACTCGAATGTTGTTCTATGTTTTACGACTTTGATCATTTCTAACAGT